CTTCTCCTTGGAGTTTTGACCCCTAATACGGGATGTGACAATACAAAATTATTTTAAAAATTTCGTATCCGATAATGCAAATGGGAAATAAATCTAATAAAATTTAACAATAACTTAATGTATCTAATTTCCTTTTAATTTTCTAAATGAGTTTCAATAAGACGAAAGTAAACTTTCCTTCGTGGAAAGAAGAAATTCACTTACGGGATAATCCTTAAAAACTTTGAAAACTTTGAAAACTTATGCTGTCAAAAATGTGGCTGCTTTGAAAACTTATGCTGTCAAAAATGTTACAGAGCGAGACTTTCCGGCGCAAAACTTTAACTTTTAATTTGCGAGTTTTAAAATAGAATTCATCACGGTCGTCACAAATGCCAGATACATGATAATTAATTATATTTTTGAATTAAATTAAAATCTTGTAAGTGTTGAGAACACTGACAAATCTTGCACGAATCATTTCCTCCTTTAGACGATAATTTTATCTGAATCCTTTAAGGTGTGAACACTCTTCATCCGTTTTATAAACTCGAACCAATACCATTAGCGCACTCCAGTCACTTTGTTCTTTTAAAATTACACGAAATTAAATTACAGCGGCTCGTGTTTAATGGAGCACTAATCTCATCTCCTGCAGCGCCCGGCCGAGCTGTGGCGCTGAATTACGTGGGTTAAGTTAAGTTAGCTCACGGGAGGTAAAAATCCGAAAATGTTTTTAATCTGCGAGGAAGATGACGTAACGAGTACTGAAAGGGACGAGGAAGTCTTTGATAAAGGGCACTGAAGGGAGCGACCTGGCGGGTGGGCTGAAAAACCTTGCCGCGAGGAGCTTCAAAATTTACGCCGTTCACCAAATTCTATTAGTTCGATCAAATCACGGAGGACGAAGTTTGTAAGGGGCAGGCATTAAATGCACTGACGGTTTTAGTCCCGTGTATAAATCACTTTTGTGTGTAAGGCCTACAAGGGAGGATAATATTAAAATGAATTCCAATTAAATATGGCGTGAACTGAATTGAATTAGCTCACGATAGGGCCCAATGGCTCCCTCTTGAGAATGCTTCGGGTTACGTTTTGACCAGCTAAGCAACTACATTAAGATAATTACTAGTGACTTATCATCGGGACGCAGACCCGTGCCAGGTGTTTGCCCTTGGGGGGGGGCTCTGTGGTTTGTGGTGTCCTCTAATTTTGAATAAGGCCAAACCAGAGGTTATCACCCAGAACCAGGGATCGTTGTCATTGGTACAGCAGACTCCATCCTTGCACGATGTAACAGAATCCCTTCCTAGTAACACGATCGAAGCTCCAACCCCCAACCCCCACTCTTTGTGCTCGTTATAAATCCGTTTTCTGATACGCGCTCTCGTGTCCTCCGTCTGCTTTTATAGAATTTAAGTAATAGCAGAGAAATGTCGAGCACCGAAGTTCCGTACAGCTGAGAGTTACCGACCTCTGTCTTATTCTCCTACATCTGGGGTCTTTAAAGCCCCGTCTACCAACATCATTTTTCCTATATTTAAGCTAGAGATGGGCGATGCATTTAGAATGCATGGGAGAGATGAGTAACTTATAAAATTATGGTTGGAAAAAATTGTCTCGTCTGGAAGGATAATATTAAAATGGATATTAAAGAAATAGGGTGTGGATTATATTCAAGATGCTATCACAATATGGTCCAGTGAAGGATTGTGAATATGGGGATGAATCTTCGGGTTGCATGAAGGGTTGGAAATTTCTCGGCATGCTGAGCGACCGTTAGCTTCTCAAGAAGGACTTTGCCCCGTGGATTTATTACAGCTGATGTGGTATGTGATGAAATTTCAACAGAAATCCGCTTAACCGTGTCAGAGTACTTGAAATTTGGAAGAAAGATGACTCTGAGTTTCGTATTCGGATGGGTTAGGTTAGTTAAGATCTATTTTACAATACTTTTTTTAGGTCCGTCGCACAGAGCATTTTACGGCGAAGCGCGTATAAATTTACGCCCAGTCCCTAACTCGTCTGCAGCCCACGACTGCTTACGGACGCGTAACACAGAATTTCTCTTGGAAAATGTCGACTTAGGAGATCGATGACGAAGTGGGAGGATAGCATTGAGTGGGTTATTACGGATATATTTCGTCGTGATCACAGTTTTGTTGATTGCAGCTGTACAGATGCCCTTGGAAGAAGTTATCACAGGATGTTTTTATATGATAAACTTTACGGGTTAGGAAATCTTGTTATATGGGTCTTAAGGATGTCTTTTAGGGAACAGATGAAACATTTAGGATTAAGCGAAGAACTAAGATTTTGTAGAATTTTTGGCCTAAATTGTATTTATCGTATTTGTCGGTCGATGTTAGACTGCCCGCAATACAACAGTGCGCTTCGTTTTACTTTGTTTCAGAACAGAAACTATTTTTAATAAAAACAGAACGACCGAGTTGTTGGCACTCCTGCTTTGTATTCGGGAGGTCCCTGGTTCAAATCTCGGCTCTCACATCGGCTAGCCTGACTGAGGTGTTTCGTCGTGTTTAACGCAGTCATCGATTCCAGACTGAGCTACCTCGGGTCCCGTACATTTTGGGTGTTTGGTAGAAACGTCGAATTCATCTGAATTAAATGGTGAGGGAACGCAGAAAACACAACGACCTTAATTACTCAGCAACGGTTAATTTAAAGAAACTTTCTCTGACACACCAAGGAATTTAATGTCCGTAGAAGCAAGGGCAGAACATGTTTCGCAGTGCAGAGAAAAATCAGAACTGTTTCCGTTTACGTGGTTTCCAAAATTTCTTAAGAGTTTTTTTAAAAAATCGGTTGTGACGTGGTCGAAAGAGTTCCAACTTTCAACACAGGTGGTCGCTGCGGGCGCTTGTTTTTCAAATAGTGCTATTTCTTTACCACTAGATGGCGACTTGGTGTGTCGATCTGCGTGTTGACAGTTTTTTCCTTGAGAAGCTGATTGTCGCTCAGCTGTGAGGAAATTCCCCGCTTTTTATGGATCCAGACTCCACCTTGCCGCCCTGTTTCCACAAGATTTATTTGTATTATTTTCCCATCTGTGTCTAGGTCTTCCGTGTGGCCTCCCTCGTTCAGGCATGCCAACAGTTTTTATCGTCTTCCCCATGCTCGCTATCCCCCCCACCCAATCGGTCTAATTCCCACCCTAGAGTAAAATTATTGAACTTCTTATTGTCAATTTAATCCAGCCTCCTGTCACTTCATAAATCTCTGATTTTGATAATTCCACTGATACAACAACAATGCACTGGTATTAAACTGCTACGCCCCTGCCATCTGGGGATCGTCGGAGAATGTACGCATAAACAGCAGACGAACGTGTGTTGAGGAAACAAATCTTTGTATACGACCACCAACCAGAGGTAGGATAGATATCGTTTTTCCATTGTTCGTGTAATTTGCAGGTTGTAATAATCGCCACATCCAATTGAAATCAGTATCCATTTAAGCTGCCAGAGAAATGTTATCTGAACAGGCATTGATCACATTCAGTGTGCAGTTGTTATAGCTGTCCAGTGGTCACGTGACAGGACATGTTCAGCGATCTCAGCCCGCCGCATCGCGCATCGCCCGTCACTCATCATTAATTCGAGTTGTCCATCAACTTTAAAGCAAAACGTCAAAGTCGTTACAGCTCACAGTTCCCTTTGGACATCATCAAAATGGATAGACGGATCGCGAACGTGTGGATTCATCTGGATCTGGCTCTTTGGAACACGTTAATGAACCACTGGGATCTATAAAAACTTCGGGGACGTTTTTGACCACCTGAAAAAAAATATCCCTGAAGATGGAGGCGGTATATTACTCCGAAACACTGGTAACCACCGGGAAAGACCACAATTGGTATCTTATCTACCGAAAAATGGCGAAGACCGTCGTATGCAGTTTTCTGTTTTATAATAAATCAAAATAAACTTTGATCGCGCAGTCAAAGAATATGAAAATAGGCCACTTTATGGCAAACTTCAAAGGGGCCCGCGGCATTTTTGAAATGAGTGAGGCAGGAACAAAATAATTAATGCAAAACAAAAAATTTAAAAAAAAATTCTGGTCTCAAGCTGCGAGCGTAATTAACAGACCGCGAGTGCAATGGCGGCTTCGGGGTTCACAGAGCACGGAGTGCCCCTTTATAACTCCGCGTCCTTTGCTTGTTTAATGACGCTTCTATCACCAACAAAGTAAATACTCGCTAACTCTTCATTGTCTCTACTGAAATTTAAGATTTGTTGTCTTTGTGATCATAAAAATCTCACTCTGTATTCATTCAGATGCTATTTCTGCTGCAGTGGATATATTTTTACCTTTTACTTTTTATTTAAATGTCGATGTCTCAGGCTGAAATAATTATTATGGAATTTGTTATGGGGGACTGAGGAAAATCATGGGAAACGTCAGTCACAATAGCCTGTCTCTGGACTGAGATTTGAACCCAGGACTTCCAAATACAAGCAGGAATCAACTTTTTAACGAGTTTAGTAAGATGGTCTTAATATAGATGCAGAGGGAAGAACAGGGCCTGAGGGAGTCATAGGAGAATGGAGAAGCTTCATAATTTGTACTTTTCACCAGTATCATGTTGATTATTCAGCGAACATGGATACAAAATTTTATTACCAATTCCTGAAGGGAAGAGACCACTTTGGGACCTATGCATACGTGGTAGGATAATATTAAAGTGGACTCTTATTGGCTTCACCAAGTACTTTCTCTTCCATGAAGTTAGTTATGGAGTTATGTGAAATCCACGTAATAATCTGCAGTCACGTTGAAAGAAAATAAGACAGACAAGACATCACACTTTGCTAAATTCATTTTCATTTTGAAAAAGGAAGGAAAAGAAAACACAGCTTGAAAGTGTAACAAATATCGATTTTATTTACAAAACAGTATTTAAACTTATATACAGAAATTCATGAGTTTTTTTTTTTAAATTTTCAAAGAATAAATTTAATTAAAATTTCTACTGATAATTGTGTTCATAATTATTGAATTATCTTCTGGTAAGATTCAAAGTTTCTTGTTATAAATTGACATTGATCTAACTGATAATACAAAATTGTTCCTATCAAAAAAAGAATATTGTATTTTCGGGCACCTTGGTTCGCCGTATCCTGAAGTTCGTAACACGTCCCTTGTATGATCTTGGTGCATTTCATTTAATTTAATTTCTTTCTCAAGTTAATCACACAATTTTAAATAATGCACAGCCATTTATTGCACTTTACTGCCATCCGCATTGTCCGAAGCGCGAGGACACAGCGACATGTTCCGGTAAACGAATACTCCACAACCATTGTTGGGATAGAGCACCGTTTACCGAGATCCAGAAGACGCTCGTCTCAAAGACCGTCAACAATGTAACACACGTTAATAACCACATTCATGCAACAACCAAAGTGTCAACAATGAAATTTTGGCAAGAACATCCGATATTAGCGTCAACAAAACTTGGATTTGGGAACCCGTGGATAACAAATGAAGATAACAGGCATTTTCATTTCGTTAGAAAATAAACTCGTACATAAAAAATGCAATAAAACACCCATAAAACTGATATGAAAGCCATTTTTAGTTCGTCGTCACAAATCACCCGATTTGTTTCGTAAAACCTCTTAATTACGCTTCCCTGCAACCAAAGGCACGAATTGCTCGTTAAAATTTTATCTGTGAACCTGTGCACAAATATTGATATACATATTAATAAAATATAGTACAAAGCATTGTATATAATATTTACAAATATATTTAACATTTATATATATTAATATTTTTTTCACAGTATAAAAAATTCATTTATTTTTGTGCTTTGAGCATTGCATGATGGTAATGTTTATTTATAATTCCGAGATTTTTAACTAAAATCATCTCGAAATGTAAACACACTTCACCTCTTAAAGCACAGAGCATTTCATTCGTATTGCACTTCGGGAAGTAATTTATGCAAGTTTACTTGACAATGGTATAAAGAAATGCGTAGCGTTTTAAGGCCAGATAATATTTAATAACATTTATAAAGATAAAATATTATAACCTTTTGTGTCGGAGATCAGAACACTTCTTTCACTAATGCACTGTATGAGACCATTCATTAAAGTTTTGCCATTTCTTTGTCACGACGTCTTTGACATTTTAGGAGACTAGTAAACAAATATTAAAAAAACAATTTTAATCAGGGGTGTGCTGCGAGGGCGTTAGAAGGGTTCACACAAGCTTTGGCAAATTACTCGAGCCCTTTGTTATCGGCACAAAAAATATATTGTACACCAGTAGAAAATATCCACAACTGCATCTCTTTCAAACGCCGAAGAAGAAAAGATCGCTTCGTTTTACAAGCCCGTCGTTAACAAATTGGCAGCACACCTGAGTCAAACGATACGCCGAATAATATTCTCTTTAGATATCTTCAAGAATGAAGGTTAATAAATATGGCTGATAATTACTTTATCTGTATTACCATTCCTAAAAGTCTGAGGCAATTGTTTTCCGTAAATGTATTTCATTTTGTTTATTGCAACGTCCAAGGCAGTTCTGTCTGCAACTCTCTGCCAGAGCTGCAAAATGGCGCTCAGTTCGAGTAACATTTCTGCTCTTGCAAGAAACATGGTTTTATTACACCCAATTAAAATGGATATGGGGCACTAAAATTGACCATTCCAAGGTCTCTTTTTCAGATATTTGCATTTTTCTTTTTATAGGTTCCAGTTCTCTCTCCCCATAACTTCATTTACGATGTTACGTGAAATGGCATCCGTTCGAGTTACCTGTCCCGTCCTTTATTATTATTTAGTTCATAATTTTCTTGTGATGGTGTCAACACGCTCGGGCAAGAACTGCTTAGCAACCACTGACTTGCTGAGATGGTAAACTGACACCACCTGCTACTTTCCAGGAGGCTCCGTCACATTATATTTCATGTTTCGAGATCGCATGACACGGCGTAAGTCAGCTGGCCAGCAGACTTGGCCTCACCTCGGGCAGAAACTGAAGTACGAGAAGAGGAAGCAGTGGACGGAGAGGAACCTGTAAATTAAGACGCACAAATGTGAGCTTTCGCATGTGACGAGGTAAAACGGGAAAGAGGATGAGGCGCAGACGAGGCTTAAACTGCAAACGAAGAAAAAGACTGATTGATCAGAATGGACACGTGTATACAGCGGCTTAGGACTGAGATCACGAGTCTGGTACATGGAACAGTCTGAAAAACAAGAAATGCCACACTGAAGAATAGGACAGACTAAGAGATAAAGAAAAATGTGAAAGGAAGAATGAAAAAAGGAAGGAGTGACAGAAGAAGGAAGCATTTTGACACACAAGACTAGATTAAAAAGGAACACTGAGCTTAAAGAGGGGAACGTGGGCTGAAAACTCGTCTGAGGCTTAAACACCTTCAGCAGGGCTCCACGCGTATTTCCGATACTTTCCAAATCAAAACGATCAAAAAATTATTTTCGAGAAACAACCAATCATTTCACAACAACAAAAAAAATCTTAAAAATTAAGTTACGTGAAATTATTCATTTTGATAAAACTGAACGTATTATTACTGAAGACTGGATTCCAGAATTACATGAATTTTATTTTCACTTACACATAAAAAAAATTCTTGAAATTAAATACAGAACCAAAATTTGTGGCCCTGCGTTAGCCACTTCTCGAGTAATTTACTTTTCCATCACACATGAGTCTCTCTGACCCTTTAAAATCTTGTATGATCAAGGGCTGCTCATATTTACCTCGTAGGGTCAATCCGCCTGTTGAACCCATCTATCTTGACCACATTCATCTCATCCCTACTGTAGCGCGAGTAGCTGAATGTGATCTGAAACAGAAAAAATTCCACTTAAGAACTTGTATTTACTCACTTGACAGCACCCACTTATTTATATTGAACCAGATTAGAAAATTGCATTTACAAAAGCGCCATGAGATACCACATGTTACATTACAATCGCTCCACTCTCCGGTGTCCCCTAGTCCCGCCAGTTTACGCCTCATTGCCTCATTACACAGCATCGGAATATGTACAGTCGCTCACATAAGCCTTGGAACAACCCCATGAACTGCTTCTTGAGAAGCCGACAATGACCTGGTATTGAACCCAGAGATCCATCACCGCGTTCACAGGAGGTTGCCATTGGTCCATACCCTCAGTAAAGTAAAGCTGTCTCATTATACGCCATTTAGGCGCTTTGGGGGAGAGGAGATACAGCTCCTACTCTTTCTTGACCTCGGCACTAGATGGGGGTGAGCGGTCAGCTTCACGCCCCGGTCGAGCTTGACCCCGGTACCCATTGGGGTCCCTGAAACTGTTCTTTTCCTTCAGGTTAAGCAACTTAACTGCTGCACGTATGAAGACGAAAGATTCTGAAGTGAATCTCAGCGTCTTCTCATCTCTTCTGGTCCTCCAAGCTGTTTGCAAAATGGTTTCCCCAGCAAAATTCTACATGGATCTCATACTTCCTCAATTGTGGCTAACTGCCTGCTGGATTTCGCTATCCTAAAAACGCTCACAAAACGTACACTTCCTAAGTCCAAATTGTCTCTGAAGGTTTTTGTTTTAAAATATGTTTCCCTCGACGTAGGAGACTACGATTCACACCCCTACAGAACAAGGACAGCAGCAGTTTTTTTAACTAATATTAACCGGCATTTCTGTCTTGAATCTCGCTGCCGCCGCCATCTGATGCGCATTTCTCCCGTTCCACAATCTTCTACTTACTTGGTCATGGAATGAATCCTGTCGCAAGAACTTCATTGGCTCAAGATGAGAGTGAAATTGATCAATGACTGTCAGTGGTTTCTTGAGCAGATGCTCTGAGAACAAAAACAAAAACAAAATCTTATGTACAGTTATAGACAATTCTCCCTCGTACAAAACCAAGAACGTGAACAAGTTTCCAAGTCCAGACACGCAAAACTTAATTATTTGTTGTAAATACGCAAGCGCGTGATGTCTTTGAGTGACACAAAATACATTACAAGGAACTTCGTAGCCTGTATTCCGCATGAAATATCATAAGAATGATCAAATTAGGGATAATGAGACGGGTGGATGAGGCATAGACAGATGATAATACTAAAACGGATCTTAAAGAAATAGATTGTGAGGTGTGCACTGGATTAATCTGACCCAAGTCAGAACAGAGGCGGAGAGCTCGTGTTAGCCATGTTAGGTCGGGTTAACTGTCAGCTCGCAATCGCCTCCAGTGAAAAATTAAAACGCACGGCCAGATGTTTGCCCACATGACGCATCAGAGCACAGGGGACCACGTTTAACTTTCATCAGTTATCGCGATTGTCGTAAATTTCTTCCTTGCCCTGGTCCAGTCCCTAGTTCCTGTACGCCAAGACGGCAAGCTGTTCGTAACAAAAATGAGTTATCGCCTCCCAAGCGAACGATTGCAAAAAAAAAACGAATGAGACATTTAAGAAAACCAGACTCATTTACAACACGTAGCGAAGCCCAAGGTTAACGCCGGTTTAGGCGTTACTCGTCTGGTCAGGAAACTAATATCCTCTGCAAGGTTTTGCTCTTATCTCTAAAATGGATCTTAATTAGCATCTTCTATCTGTCGAGGAGACCAATCAGTAATTGCCGAGACTGGAGTTGCAATTTTAACGCAGGAGCAATTATTTCTCTGCAAAGACGCCGATTTATCCAGCGCAGATTACGTCATCCCTCTGAAGAAACATCACAGATGTTGAAGATCGAAATTTTAAAATTAATACGACACGACGCGTCCTCGGAATACGCACTTAAAAACAGATCGTCGAAATGTCGAGGGCAGCCGTGAATATTAGAATTTCTGGTGTTAACGTTTCGGCAAAGAATGAAGTTGCCATTTTCAAGGTGGGTATGAGGTGGGGGGCAAGCAGTGAGTGGCGCCGTCGAATCTGTCTTGCCACTCACCGAGCACACTCTTTTTACAACGTCGTCAGAATTGGCCTCGCATATCAAAAACTCCAGAGAGCTGTCGTCCTTGATAAGACATTATAAATCTCCCATGCTCCAAGTAGAAGGGCGTCGGTATCGGACCATTTGAATGCGGTACCAGCGCGTTGATTGCTGTCAGATCGAACAGTATTTGACCTTGAATAAAGGCCAACCCCGTTCCCCCGTCATAATTTTCGGAACACGAAACCAGCGCCCCCTTTTAAGGCTCTGATGCTTCAACTACTGAGTGATAAGGGCCCAAACCTCTACAGCTTTGGGAACAGCGCCCCCGCCAAAGGGGGGGGGTCTAGAGGTGATGGGCCTTCAGGGTTCGAACAAGTGTTCCTTTGATGAGGTGGATACGCGTCTGAGCAGTTGTTCGGCTCTCCTACACGGTCTTAAAAACTGCGAAGACAAGAGTGGGATGACGATGGGAGGTCGTGATTACATTAATCAATCTTACCACGTTAATCTAAACTTACTTAAACGGAAAAAATGTATTAGTCATCGGTTCATAACCCCAGGCTGGAACTTGATGAAAGGGCGTCCGATGGTTTGTGACCATATTACGCCACTGTCATCTTTAAGTCTTCATAATGCGTGCAGCGAAGTGTAAAGTATGAAGTCACCCGAATAAATACGAACCCCGAAATCAATCCTCCGTGGACCTTACACGAACTGGTACTTCGAGTTACAACGCAGTGAAAATATCGGCTGTGGTCTTACTGGAATTGTGACGCCAACATTTCTGAGTTCGTATCGCCTCAATCTTCAGAGTAGACCGTGAAGAAATACATATACGCGGTGTCACACCCCCAGAACAGCACGGCCTCCGTTAAGTTAACACACTTTGTGCTTCAAAAACCCTCGTACAAATAAAGACTCCAAGATGTACAGTGCGTGAGAAACTGATAGATGTTCAGCTGTTCACGAAATTCATTACAATGATCACGAGAGCGCGCCAAAGGCCCCTATTCGGAGCCACATGAATCCAATCCACACGCACACACACACCCCTATTTCCTTAAAATCCATCTTATTAAATCCTCCCCCACGTCTCATCTCACCCGCCTTGATTTCCATCTTATTTTGTGAGTATCTCGTGGTTGGTAGGCCTGTACAGATCGTACTTCAGAAAGCATGCAGGGCGCTGCCCCCTTAGGGGCCCTGTGCTGTCTGAGTAACTCAGCATTTGAACAGAAGGCGAATAGATAAAAAAAAGAACACGAAATCAATCGAGGTTGTTGTAAGGAGCAACATTGCAATTCCGCGGTCGTACCAGAGTTTTTTCTTATTACACAGTGATTAAACTTCTTACGGCGCTGGAGTTCAAATTATATTATTCAGCGACATAGGAAAGCCACAAAGGGAGAAAAAAACTTCTGGTCTCTGTCCGCATTTCGCGAATTGAACTTACTCGGTGGCGTGCAAAAGATGGCGTTCTTTAAAAAGTGGTAACAACTAAGAATGAAGAATGTTTATATATCCACCTCGGTTGATTTATTAACATTTACTTTTGAATGTCTAAAATAGGTAATTTAATTTATAATTAAATCGCCTTTTTCACCGTGAACTTCTGAGATGCGATACCACGAGTCTATTTGTAAACAAGCTGATTTCATCTTCACTTGTGCTCTGAAGATGGAGGCAAAGGGTCCTATAAAATATTAATAACCACATACAACATACACGGTTCCACAACTCAGAAGTTCACAGTCTGAGTCTACTAATAACAGACTTTGGCGGTATCTTACGTCTTTTAAGAACGTAATTTTCCAATTTATTCTGTTACTTTCTTCGTCATCGTAATAAATTGCGCCGTGTTTGCTGTATAGTTATCTCGAGCAGATCCGACGTTAGCCTTAACATTATCTTGCCAGCAGAGAGCTCTTAGAAGCAAAACAGTAATAAGTGAAGATCACTCACCGATGATGTAGCCCATTGTGACGTCGTCTGGGAGTCGAATCTTTTCCCCGATGCTAATGAATTTTCCGCCACTGAAAGGAACCAAATAAGGCAACATAAACTTCACTTCACGTAATATTTAAGAATTCAGTCCGTACCGCAAAGAGAACACTACACTTCACCATTACAAAGATCAACTGGTTAACCTGCATCAGACGACTTTCAGCGAAACTGTTCTTGAGAATTTGTACGTTGATTAATTTTTTTTAAATCACAATTAAATTCATGTTTCTCATCTGGAAGACGGCAGATGTGAGAGCGAAGGCCCGGATGTGGGCAATCTTGTTCACGACGTTCCGCACCGCCGAACTTTGCAGTTCATCGTTAAATTAACTCGGAACAGAACATTGGAAATCCACTAAATGAGTAGCAAAGTCATTTGTACGTAATTGACACCGGATAAAAGATGATGGTCTCGCGCGTTTGCGAAATTAAGTATAAATAAAACCAAAAAGGACATAAGTAACTTCGTCCTCTTGAGATGCTGAACAGTCATACAGAATTTTAATCTCGAACGTAAAGTTATCAGCAGTGACCAGTGTCACCCCATTTCATCTGCTTCTGTTCGTGTACACACGGCCCCTGCACGCAGCAACCAACAACAACAACCTCTTGTTAAGTCATCGCTGGACCAAAATCCACCAGCACCTGCTCTCCGTAACAGTATTAGAACGACCACACGATTCTAGCCTTTGAAGAGCACAGTCTTATAATCGTAATAGAGTCTATTATCGGTCGCTGTGTGTGAATAAGCAGGTAGCGAACTCCTTTAGCAGCTGCTGTTTTGGGGTAATGTCTGTGCTGTTCTGAATTCCTTCGCTCGCCTGTGGTTAGACTCTTGTAAGATCAGATGTGGAACGCTGTCGTAAGTGATGGTGGCTTTGAAGAGTTGAGTCTCGTTAATTGACAAGTGATGGAGTGTTCAGACCAAACTCCGTGGTCCATTAATTATTTTACCAAATGGAGAAGAATGACTCAGAGACTTTTGTGTTCTGCCCACGATGAGACAGAACTTGAGATAACAATTAATGAGCTGGTCCTTGATTCTGTAAACCAGGGTGGAATAAATAAATAAATCGTTCCAATTAGGCACTGCCAAAGTATCAGTCAAGCTGACGTCTTTCGTTTCCCAATAAAAATAAAACTGGAGTCAACTATGCATTTCGGAACAGCCGTAAATGGACACGACTCGTATTATGTAGAGGTCTCGTTATTACGGAAAAAAAAAAAGAAATGCACGTGGGTAGGGCCCAGTTCCCCATCTGACTCTCTGAAGTCGCCCTGTTAATTTGCCGACAAACGGGCGACGACGTAAGATCGGAATGTGGGAACGATATATTTATTCCGAGTTCCTACAGAGAACAACCTTTCATTCTCGGTTAACTAAAATAAATTAATGATACAAAAGCTCACCTAATTAATTCCAACATTTCTTCCTACGGTTTTAATTGTTTCATATTGTTATAAGGCCGTACTTATTCTCCTCCTGCATTCCGTCTCCCATTCGCTTATCTTTATCAGCAGTGGCGGATCGCGATTATCCCCCAGTTTATACGTAAGGGCTGAAACGTCATTCGTCCTTGATAAAACAGATTATGAACAGATGTTTTAGAGGGTTGGTCTTTGCCAAATATTATTATTACGATAACCAAATGAAGCAAGATTAGATGGGCGAGTCATGTAGCAGGCACTGGGAGTTGAAAACTGAATTTTAGCCGGAAAATATGCAGTATATAAACCAGTGAGAGATACAGGCATTGATGACAGGATAATATTAAAAAAGGAATATATATAGGGCGTGGCTTAAGATATGGTACGACTGTGGGTTGTTGTGGATGACTTGGGCAATATCCCGACTACATGTGCGACCATCAGTTTCTCATGAACTTTCGTATACGTAAGGGAATTGCCGTGCAAACAGGTCACAGCTTCATTTCCCAGTGGCGATACGTAACCGGTAATTTCGACCGACCGCGACGACACAGCTTCATAGCTACACGTGCAGACTGCTGGACCACCGACCGATCTTTTCCCGCCTCCTTCTGAGCCCCACGTATTTGTTTATCCGCGTTCTAGTCTCATTTATTATTATTATTTCTCCAGAGATTACCTTCTTACCTCTGAAATGACCAGTGAACATTAAAGAACGCATTTTCAGATCCTATCTGCCAGCTGAGGAATAGTTAACCTCTAAGAATATGGCTGCTGCTACCTAAATTATAACTCGGTGCTTCCAGAGTAATGATCAGTGGCGGCTGGTGCGAGGACACGAAGGTAGTCTACTCAACTCACATTTAAACACACGCAATTTTTTAAGGGCGGTCGTTACCGTGTACAACCCGAATGTTCACTGCCGTGTTCACAAAAGATCGCCAATGATCCGTCCTGAGCCACATGAATCCACAATCTATTTATTCAAGAATCATTTAAATATGAAAATTGTATTTTCATCAACGACTAAGAGATTTCACTTTAGGTTTTAAGGGAAAAAAATTGTGTATGCATGTCTCATCTCTTCCGTGCGTGCTACATGTACATAATTCATAACGACAGGTCTCTCGTTGTCCGTGGCGAATCCATTTCAGCGGATTATCCTGCAGTCTAACTTTTTTAGGGTGTTCCTGGAACATCTCTCTCTCACACACACACGCCTTTCTCTCTTTTTGTGAAATTCTAAATTTAGTGCTGACTTGTGACTTTTGCTGCCCTCGCGAGGAGCGAACACTAGGAAGCTAATTTGCAATTCGTTCTACCTATTCCCAGAGCCTTGCCTTTTAATGTTTATATTATACCATGCACACCAAAAGAAGCCGACGATTGGGGAGCTTCAGTTTCGCCTTTCCCGAAAATAAAATGCGGTGTAATGCGCCCTAATTCCATTTGCTCATAACACCTGGACACGTAACTCAAAAGGAAACTGGACAATTAAAGCAAATCCAGTCACGAGGAGGACCCGTGACGCAGACGAATCGAAATCACGTACGTACCAAGAAACAGACATCATCTGGCGGCTGCAGAATTAACTAATATGAAAGATACAGGGGTAGAACGAGTTCACGTGCTGTAGGATGCGGTCCAGTGGCGGTTTACGAACACACGTGTCCTTGTTCTAAAACACGAACTCCAGTCTCTGTTTTCTGAAACGATGGGGATTTCGTAATGAACCAGTTTTCTTAATGAACATAAGAAATCCGAGATATCAGTGGATATGAACATTTAATGCTCAGAGTCTCAGATCAAACCAACGAGACAGGACTTCTGACGTAAGAACTGTCTTAACTTAAGTCGTACATAACAAATATACTAAAGTTTATAGAAGTAAAATCAAATGCCACGGTCAGGAAGCTGTAGTGGACATAGCGCGTGACAATGAACTTTGACGTAAAGAAATTTACCATTTGTTGCGTATGGCTGTAAAACACGGGCTCTTACTTTGGTGGAAAAACATAAATTACAAGTAAAGATTACAGTCTTCTGGGATGATGCGCCGTGTAGTCTGGTAGAAAATGACCGACGTTTCGGAGGCGCCTGCTGCCTCAGTCATCATGACAGTCGTTCTCATAAACACTGGCCATTTTCTAAGAAGTCGCATGGTACAATATCCAAGAAGACGGCCATCTTCATACTCGCCGTAAATTAGAGATGTTTATAAAAATAACTTCAATATTTGTACGTGTCATGAAGATGAGATTGGTTAGACATGTAGCTTGGACGGAGGATACAAGAAGTGCATACGGAATGTTGGTGAAGGAACATGCACGCACTTACCTGGCTACAGGGATCATCTTGAGCGCCAGCGACCGACTGAGACAGAAACCAGCGCCCCCAGTCGCGAACCAGAAAGAAATCTTTTGCTGAAAAGAGAAAAAGAACGAGACGTTACTACGCTGTGCCCTTCTCTTGAAGGCGACGACGTCCGGCCTAGGTCTGAACACGTCACCCCTCCATTCCGTCATTTTTTAATTATGGACCTGTGTCGTCAGACGGGAACAGGGCGTGGCCTCTCGAGGGCTGTGGGGCATCTCGGCAAAAATCCGTGGTCTATTATCTCCACTCACCCTTTGGGCCCTTTCCCATTTCTTAAGATTGACCCAGTCGAGACGTGGGGGAAACGAAAAATATAAACGAAATTTCAGTCGGGAAACCCGAGTTCTAATTATTAATCAGCGCAGTCTCAGAAGAAGTTTGCCGCCGGAATTTTTCCTAACAGCGTCTGCCCTCAGTTCGCTGTCCCATTTTAGAACATGGAAGACGTTTCAATCCAATATCCGCACACTGAGGCTTGCGCTGCTACGACGACACTGCGCAAACAGCATCGGACCTGGTTAATGCAAGAGGGGCATACACATAATTCTGTTTTGCGCGTGAAGTGAACGAATTTTTGTCTGTGACCGAAGGTTGGGATGACCGAAATTGTACCATTCACTAGTGAACATGAGAGTACCAAGCAGCTTTCCAATCTTGCAGCATCCACTTCTAGGTCTTCCCATAGATCATTCTCCTGGATCTTTGTGCATCTCCTGAGATGCAAATTCCACTGACAAAAGCGACATTTCGACGGTGAGTGCGTCGTTGAAGACGAAAAAGTGCCGCAGCTGTGGGTGACGTATCGGAGAATTTTGCAAAAAAATGTGGAACTGTGAACTCGACACAGCGGGTCGGTGCCACGAACCAGGTTTTACACTCGGATCAACAGCAAGACACACGACTAACCACTTGTGCGTCATTTTATCGGAGCAGTAGTGAGGCAGGGATACGATCGGAGGTCGTGATGGGCGTGGTACGAACCCGGTAGGGCAGGTTTCTGCGCTCACCGCGAGCTACGACGAGACTTCGCCTCGAAGTAAGTGGACCGCAGAAACACCTGCCAGTGCGGGAGTGCAACACGGGACCAAGTGCACACACAAACACGCGAGATTGAGGGGAACTGATAAAAAGATACCGGAGCCTGTGCGCTCAATTCGGAGAGAAAAGATTCCATCCAGTAGACCGCGACTTTCTCGTAAAAGTATCAGCTCCCCAGTTCTAATTACAATTTGTATTCAACTTCGCTAATGGCACTCGACAGGCTCCGTCATTAGGGCCCGAAGGATCAACTCCGTTGACCCCGAAGTCTGTCGAAGATCCGTCTTGAGGCTACGGCAACATTACATTTTCAGTATTTCAAGCGGTCGTCTCACCAAAATTGTTATGCATTCGTTATACCCCCCCTCCCAACCATAGTCTCGTCATTTCAGTACATTTTAATAATATCCTAGCTCTTTGCAGTGGAAAGAAGCAAATAATGCGCCTCCCAAGTCGAACTGAACCACTCGATATAGATCGATAATTTGCATTGGAAATCGATCTCTTTTGAACGGGTACGATAAGATCATTAACAGAGTTTAGTTAACGTCCAGACAGCCGACACTGGGAGCTTCTAGGCGTAGGGGGCGCCTAGTACAAGTCACGGACCCCACAAACAGGTCCGTCTTGTCTTTCGGGGAAAAAATACAGGCAACTCAAAAATGAAGTAAGCTACTGCCCGCAATGCACACACATTATCGCCGGAACGCTTTGTTCAAAAATTGGGCCGTTCGAGTCTCTCTCTTCATTTGCTTCTTCCTGTCTTGCTTTCTCCATTCCTCTTTGTTTCTCGGACATTAATTCTGCCCTCACTTTATTTACCTGTATTTTTGGGCACGTCCACAACCAAACGATCCGAAAATAAGATCGTTAGCTACGTCATGAAGTCCTTTAAATCATCAGGAACCGCTAAACGGATTTTCATGAAATTTATTACTGCGAAGTTTTCTTCTTCCAAAATTTGTTGATTCATCTCAAGTTCGGTTAAAATCAGACGGCAATAAACGACACTTTACACGAATACACGGGGAATCCCCAGCTAGACGGACGCCCACGCAACTACTAGGGGAATCCTCCATTCTGTATCTTCCCCGCGCCGTTCGAAAAGTTCAGATATTATTACGTTCGCTGTGCATAAATTTCATAACTTGTTTTATATTTTACGTTTAACTTTCTTAATTTTTATTCTCCTGGCATCGCAAAGATTTTGGAATGCGTGTACGAGAGCGAGAGAGGCGAATACTTGACAGATGATCTCCGTCTCTGAAACTCAGTATGCTGCAAAAGCAGTCCGGTCCAGTGGCCGTCAGATACGTCAAAAAGTAAACTCACCGCAGATTTGTCCTTGTTCAGAATCTCCAGTGGAGCACGGATGCTGGGTTTACCCAAATACCAGTCCTCCTGCGGGCTGTAGTCTGCCAACAGCTTCACCAGTCGAGGGACATTCACGTAATTGTCATCGTCGAAGTGACAGAACCACCTGTTTGGGCAAACAAATACAAAATCACTTGTCGTTAACCCTTTGAAGCCGAAGATCGTCTGAATATTATTTATGAATTCAGTCCGTACCGCGAAGAAAACACTACACCTCACCATTACGAAAATCAGCTGGTTAACCCTTTGAAGCCGAAGCTCGTCTTCATAATATTTACGAATCCAGACCGTACCGCGAAGAAAACACTTCACTTAACCATTAGAAGTCGAATCAGGCGGTACCACATAAGATTTAACAAAAGAACATCCCGGTCAAAGCCTTAATTGAAAACAGACACAAACTTTTTTTTAAAAAAAATCCAATATTTCTTTGCGTATTCAGAAACATAAAACGTCGTGGGAACTGAGCTAATTAGTGTGTCCGGGCATACTTATGAGTTTTCCTTGTTAAATAACTGTAAATTAAGGGACAAAAGAAAAGTCCCTGGCTGCTGCGCCGAATAGGTTGGTATTTTTATCATGGATCTGGTGATTCGGTGATGGCGTTGTTGGTCAGAGTCGTTCCAGCGGCACTGGAATGTACGCGCCACTTCGCTGACTCATGCCGTTTAATTTGGACTGAAATCTTGGGGGTGGGGCCGAAACCCTGGTTAAATAAATGTACACTACCTGACTGACAGCTCCGGACGCCCTGCAAACACCGATACTGGCGCTGTTAGTTCGTGTATTATACGTCATTAGGGCAGCGGTAGGTCCTGTGCCCCCAAACACGCACGTAACCCCTTTTAGCACGGAGAACACAACGCCTCTCCACCAAGTAGCAGCAACTTCCTTGGAGCTATTAAGAACTTTTATCGAGTTCATTCACTCTAGTGCCACCTAGCGATACAGAGTTCAGTTCCTGCAAGACAAGTATTCTATGTTTTCGCTTATTTAACGACGCTTTATCAGTAGCTCAGACTAGCGCCGAATGAGAGGATGTGGGTGGCCTAATTTAAGGACTGAGGAAACCCAAGGGAAACCTGTGTAGATAGTAGGTCGGTCTCAGGGACGAGATTTTAACCATGAACCTTCCGAATACGAAGCAGGGGTACCAACTATGTGATGCGTCAGGATTTCATAATTTCCCCAAGATTTATGTACCGTGCCTGAAAAAAACGATAAGGGTGGCAGCAGACGTCGAGTAAATCGACACGTGTTTTCTCGGTGCTCCCGATTTCACTTGAACGCCTTCCTGTTTCGGTGATATCAAACTGGTTCCGTAATTGCTCAGCCTCTGGTGACGTCACTGGGTGAAAGCGGTGAGCTTTTGATATTCCTCGCGAGTCGCCTGACAACGCTTGTCCGCGTCCTCCGGTTCAGTGTCGGTCGGTCATCGCCGTTTCAACCCACAGCAGATCCTAGTTCACTGACGAGCAACTATCAGCTTCCATCCATCAGTTTCATGTTTCCTTCCCATCACTTTCTTGGTCTTCAAAGTGGTTGGTTCCCAAGAGGACTCTGCATATCACCAAAAATTCTGCATGCATTCCTTGTATCACCATCGTAGGTAAATCCCCCAGCCAATCTTAACCACCTAGAAGATTTCACTGTCCTCGCAAAACCAAATTCCCTTGGGTTTTGGAATGTAATAAATAGCCTTTGCAGTTGATGCGGCGTTAAATAGTCTACGATTGAATGTTGTGCGCACTGACATGACGAGCATTCTTCTGTAATGACGAAATAATTCACTGTATCGTGCGGTCAGAGTTATTTTCAAATTTACTTTCGAGTCTAATGTTTCAGTTCTCTCTGCCTGTCTGCCTGCACTCTTAATTCATCCACTAAACATAAAAAAAGGAAAATTAAAATAATTGCTTGCCATAAAACTAGTTCCACTCCTACTTGAACCTCAGCTCTAGCTCTGACAGCCAGGAACTTGTCCAGACGTTAATACGTATGTGTGTTCGTAGCAGAGGCCACTCAGTAGAAGTTTTTAATTGCTTTCGATTGGTGGTGTGAGGGTTGTGTAACCTGTCAGGGGCCTGAGGCGAGACAAGGCCCTGCTTTCGCAGTGACTCCTCCGTTTCCATGACAACAAACGCGAACTGCGCCTATTTTGACACCGGCCCTAGTGTCATGGCTGCCGTGTGAGGTGGAATCCACTTTACCAACAAGAGACGTCCTTCGACAGAACATTAGCATAACATAATCTGACCGCAATTAGCTGGACGATGTGCCAAGATAAATAGAACTCAAGAACAAATAAACTCCCGGGCTAATTTGGAACGCTTCTAAAACCATTACGTACTCTCAGTTTAAGTTTCAATGTTGTCAGCACTCAGGAGATATGCAGATAGCTGCGAATATTAAATAAGTAGTCGCGGACAGCCGATAAGGGGCGATGTTTGAGCTGTAACATGTTACAAAATGTCACAAAGTGTTCTTCGTTACGAAAACATTTTAAATGGACGTCAAGCTGTGTCTTACTCCAAGCGATAAACGTATATTGAGAGTGTCTGAGTACAAACATGAGTACAGAGCACATGACACAAGAGCTTAAGCTACTTCGGTGACAGAGTCGATAATGA